TAACATTTTGATGTATTTGTCTTTTTTAATTTACCTTGTGTTAAGACCATGAGAACTGATGTGCTCTCATCTGTGTTCAAATGTCTAACATGTATACAGTACTTATGTTAGGGTATAAGTTATCTAACCATTAGAGACTTCATTATGGAGCTTTACTGTTTTCATGTATTAGCAAACACACCGTTAACCCTGAAGTCATTGACTATTTCTATTCCTAGCATCCCTTTTAAAATAGTTTGTTTTTGTTGTACATGCTTCTTCCTGTTTATCACCACCCTGCATTGCATTAACAACCTCATTCCAGGAAGCATACACCACTTAAAGCTAATCCAGAGGTGAAAAGAACACAAATGTCCAAACAAAGTTGTAAAATTGTCTTTAGTCTTACCTCACACATAATTAAAAACAATTCTAAAGAAATGTCATCTGATATTGTTCAAGTACAGGTGTTTTAAAACATCAAGCAGAGGGAGGTACTTGAATGTCATTGTTGGGGGGTGACTGCCAGTATGGCTTCCCTGTGTGAGATACAGGTCAAATAGTCTGCTGCCATTGTAAAGATCTTTAATCGGTCCCCTTGCACATCTGTTTTCAGCTATTTTTGCCTATAGACCTCTTATCAGGACTGTTTTGGTGGTAGACTGTGCTTTCCTGACACCTTTCTCATGTCAAGTTACAGCAAATAAAGCATCTAAATGGAATCGCACCATCACTCAAAATGTATTTTTAGCTCTGTTAATTGTGCTTCCAGGAAGACTTACTTACTTTACTATAATGAAAACCAAACAGTCTCAAACTGCAATCCATAAATAGTTAAGCATTCTATTTGAATTGTAACTGTCTAATTAAGCTAATATTAGTTGTCATTAATTGGCTGTCAACATATTTGTGATAACACATTATCAGGCTGTGAGTCAGTTCCCAAAATCACACAAAACAAAATACAAAATATATTTTCTCACTTACCTCCAATGGTTTCTAGTAATGATGCAAGTAATGATTTAACGGGTTTTAAATTATTTATCTGAGATGTAGAGGTGGAAGAAGGACGCAGATCTTGTACTTAAGTAAAAGTAGATCTTGTAGGAATACTCTATTACAAGTAAAAATACTGTAAAATGCTACTTAAGTAAAAGTAATAAAGCATCTAAATCAGGGATGTCAAACTCAATTTCATCGCGGGCCACATTCGCATAAAGGTTGCACTCAAAGGGCCGGTTGTAACTATATAAATATATAATATATATATAAAATAATGTATTATATGACATTATTGCCTCTGAATTGGATTATTATCGGATAGGATAATAACTTAGTAATTAACTACGTCTGAAAGCAGAAGTCCAGGGCAAATAATTGCAAGTCTCTTCAGTGTGCATGTCACAAAACGAGATGCATTGTGGGACATGTAGTTTATGGGCAACCTGCTTCTGTAAAGTGGCATGTAACCGTATAATAAACGTATTATATTCTTTGCAAGCTCTTGCGGGGCCACATAAAATGAAGTCGCGGGCCGGATTTGGCCCCCGGGCCTTGAGTTTGAGACCCCTGATCTAAATGTACTTAAAGTACCAAAAGTAAAAGTACTAATTATGCAGATTGGCCCATTTCACAAGATGATATGTTTTGATTATAATTATTGATGTGTTTATTAAAGGTGGAACACATTTTTATAAATTATTTTACTGCTGTGTAGCATGTGAATTTAATTCACAAGACTAAAGTCGTATTTAAGTGCTGATCATATTGTTTATCAGAACTATATCTGCAAAGTTTAGTTGAGTAGAAGTAGGCTGAAACTTTAGGTAAAGTCAGTTATGTAATTTGCGCATTTGGCTTGTTCCCCAGGGCAACGGTGGCTGAGGCTCATGGGTATTGTAGTTTTTATAATAAAACCGGGAGAATTAGTTTCCATTCAACTTTTGTTGAGTGAACGTTTAAACTGCCAGACGCTATAATGTTGCTACCAAAATCACCACCATGTGCTACTTCCTTTCGATACAGTAGGCTACATTAGTTTTGGAATTACTGAGCCCTACGTAAACGGGATGTCTTGCCTACCTAAGTTACAGGTACAAATATCCTCTACAGTTAACGTCCTCAGACGGGCTTTTTTGTTATCTTTTGACCTGATTAAGAGTAGCTACTGACCCGTCCCGTTGACCCAATCCATCAATCAGCGGTAATGTTATTCATTTCGGACTGCGTCTGTCACAGTGAAGTAAATCAGTGGCTGAACTCATTCCTCTTTTAACTACACGCTTTCTGAGCTCCAGGCTATGAGTGCTGATGTATGACGTCTGGTTTTAGTGGTGGTCTGCAAGTCTAGGGATCACTTCTCCTCCGTGGCGACCTGAGTCTCTGTAATGGGGAATCCCATTCTCCAGCGAAGCAACACCAAACTTGTGAGTAGTTGCTGTTTTCGGGGTGTTTCAGTAACTTGGCAGTTTTTAAAATGTATAATTTGGTGTCTCTCTTAAGGCTTCCGGGTATCACAAATAGTTTACAAAAGTGGAGCAAATAGTTACGAGTAGACGTAAACATAATGTCTTGTCAACATAGTGTTTGGAAAGAGGTGTGGACACATGAATTAATGTCTTTCTAATCCGTCTATTTCTCTTTAAACTCCCTCCTAGTCAGCTCATGAATATTCTGTGTTTCTGCAGAGTACTCGATCACCCCTCTCCACTCACTTTACCATTGTGCCATTATTAATAAGTCTACTTTGGTAGTTGTTGTTATTAGTCCAGTCCTACAAAAACATTTTATACTATGACCCTGATAGCAAAGACAATATAGTAGACATTTTTATACAGTCTTGATTGTACATTAGATCACAATTGCAGTATTTATTTAGGATTAGAGGATGTTATTGTTGGAGTTTTGGTGTTTAATTCGTCATTACAAGCTTTCACCCTAATGTTATATGGTTTTGCCAACATTGTAAAGGCACGACTATTAAAATGTCTGCAATCGAAAGCATTTTAAACATTTCCAAACTTTGAATTCATAGCTTACTGTTGTGTAGGGGCTTTTGTGGAAATCTTCTCCAACTATGTCTCCATTGAATGGCTTTTCTGAGCATTGAGGAATATTGTCACATCAATGGATTTAGTTCAAGTGTGGTTGATTAGTGTAATCTGATTTGTCAATCTCGCTTTATTGTATGAACTACTTTGCACATTTCCTCTCATTGTATTCCAGGGAGCTCTAACAAAAGAGTTGGGTTTCAACAAGGCCTTACATTAAAATTAGGGGAGGCCAAGGATAAACATCCAAAAAACATTTCAGTAGGTATGGTTACTTCATTGCTGGATTTTTGTAACAGTATGGAAATAATGAATACAAAGAGCAAAGGAACATTAGGAATTCAGAAACAGGCAATTTTAAGTTCTTTCTGTTCAGATGGCATGTTATGTTGTAGAAAGGCAGCTAGGACAAATCTGATATTTTCTTTTAGGTTTCAAAAGTACTTGCTTCATCAATGACCGTAGTAATCAAGATCTCAGTGCAAAAATAAATTGTAACTTCTAGCATTTGACTGCTCTTGTACCAACTGATATCAGCTGTTTTTAGTGTGTCTTTTTTACCACTGTAACAAGTATAAATAACTTATTGAAGGTAAAGCATATAAGGATATAGCTGTGTTGATTTGTTGATCCATTTTCTGACAGTTGTACCAAAGTCATTGTGCACTAAACATCATGTCTTGACATGACACATTCTCAAAACTGTGATTATGAAATAGCTACTGTAAAGGGTTGTTGCATTACAATGATGTCCACAATAGTTGGCAATACTTAAAAGACGTAGTTACATTTGAAATGACTTCACTGTCAGAGAGAAACTGTGGTAACAAACACGACTCACCCATCATCAGATGAGAAGGACATGTCCACTCCCATATAGTCACACTAGAGGAATGTCTGACAAATATATGTGTAAACATGACTGTATTTTGCAATTGCACTTGTTCCGGAATTTAATAAAATTGCAAGACAAATGGGGACAAACCGTAAACACAGTTACTGTTGCGTAATCATATTAATGGCTGGAGATGATGCTTACTTTTGCTTTTTTGTGACCACTGACTTTGTATAGTAAACCAATGGCCAAAGAAAATTGTCATTTCAAATTGTTTTGCTCACTTATACTGCACTTTGTCAAACTGTGTGTGTAATAGCATGCTACTTTAGCACAATCCCTTATTCTGATTTAATAAGAGTTAGCCACGTTAGTGTAAGCCTTATCCTGATAATGAGTTACTAAGCCTCTTTGGAGCATGGCTCATATGATTGGCTTGACCGTCCTGGATCAAAGCTCTCTAATCTCCAGCATGGAGATGCTCAAAGGTGGAGGATTTCAGACCAGAGTATTTGCCCTTTCATTACCACAGAAATAAATCTTCAGAATGGCTCATCTGTAGCAATGTTTACCAACAAAGTTTGTTTTATATACTGTTTTTTATCTAGATTGATGATAAATTATTCGGAAATCAGTGGAGTGTGCTCCCTGATTATATTCAGGCCATGCACTTTATTGAGTCGAGTAGGGGCAGAATTAAGATGAGGTATTTGTACATTTAAGAGTAAAGTGTGTTTGCATTATTTATAAGCATATTTTTGCGACTTGTAAAATAGGATAATCTACATAATCAGTTTTCCTGCTGCTTTCTCTAGACAACCTGCCCAATTGGTGCTAACATAAATCCTGCTGGATAGTGTTACTACTGTTAAAAAGTCAAAGTGAAATAGCACAAATACTATGTGCTAATCGAGAAAGTTCTACGATCTAGTCATATGTGAAAACAAACAGTTATTACAGTGTCACTTTCTCATATGAAACAAAAGATGATTTACGATGTCATGGCTTTCAGCTGGCAAGTGAAGCCGAGGTGTCGGTTCATACAAACAGAGAGGGTGTGATTGCTCATGCACTTAAAAGGTGACAGCATTGATAAATGTACTGTATCTGATGATGTGATGTGTGTGTGTCCTCAGGGTGATTTCACCTGGAACAGGGTGTCAGGATGTAGTGTTGGCCTGAAGCCAGTCCCTCTGCAAAGCCTCTCAGAGTTGGAGAGGGTTCGCCTAAAGGACGTGGCGTTCAGGCGACTGCTTCGGGATCGCGACCTTGGCTGCCACATCACTATCCCTAAATGTAATAAAACATGATACACGCACACTTAACCGTTCTCGTAATCACCGTACTGCTGTTCTATCAGCAGTGTGTTACTGCTTACTTTTCGAACAATATGGCATTGTTAAAGGCAATACATGTTTCAAAAATATGTTGTACACCTGTGTTAGGGTTTATCATTCAAACACCATGTTTTTGTCTGGACAATTATTTAGCAGTCAGTTTGCATTCAGCTCTTTTGTGCTGAGTAATCATCTGGTTTACTTGTGCTCTTTATTTACCTGTGAAACCTCTCCCTCTTTTCAGATGGCCACAAGCACAAGAGGTCACTAAGGCTGAAGTTGGATGCACTATCTAAGGAAAAGAGCAGAGACAAAGGTAATGTGGGATGGACTGAGAAAACTCCTTATACTTTCCAAAGTATCTTTAGATGAGTTTCGAACAAACTCAGTTGTATTTTTGTTAGACTTTCCAAACCAGCACAGATAAACAATTATTTTGTTTAGCTCTGTGTGAGAGCCAGTGAGTCCTTTCAGTTTATTCTCCTCTAGTTTCTAATCTAGTCAGCCTCTGACACTTGAAAGATACTCTTTGATCCGTTTGGCTGAAGCTGTAAGGACCCGCTGAAGCAGACATGTTCAGCTGTTGATACCCGTGAAGCACTGACTGATTAGAATCTACAGTACGGTAGAAAAAAGTCTCAGAGGGAACTGTGATCTTCCACCACCGCACCGCCTCGCCCGCTGCAACAATCTGGCAGCAAACTGATGTTCTGTGTCAGCCAGGCAGTCCAGGGAAATAACAAAAACAATCTTAAGTGGTGGCTCATTCATTACAGCCCATCCTCCAGCAGGGCCAGCCCCCTCTTTCCTCTTCTCCCCTTTTGTTTACAAAGGCCCTTCAGAAAGTATGTACTCTCTCACTCTGAATATTGACTGTGTGTTCAGTACAGAATACTGCAGGCATTTCAGTTGTCATATTAGTTTTAAACGACATTTAGCAAAGATCAATGTTGAATATAAAGAATACGCAAACACGAGGTGCTTAGTACAGAAAATATAAGCTTCAAGGTTTAACATAGTATTGTCTCTGACACAGCATGATTTAATTCAACACCCTCCAGTTGACTTGGAGCTAACAAGACAAACTTTAACTGTCTTCCCCTTCCCCCTCACACAGAGAATTCGCCCCAGGCATTTGGCATACCGTTGTCTCAGGTCATATCCAACGACCGATCACACAAGCGACGGCACGATGCCCCGCGGGAGGAGCACAGTGACCCTACTGAATTGATGCTATCTTTCCTCCACCTCAACTCCAGCCTAAAAAGGGGAAACAGGGATATCTCCAGCAGCAATTCGTCCCTCAGCTCTACTTCTGAGACCCCTATTGAATCACCTCTGCTCAGCATGCCAGACGCAGCCCCCCGGACACGCAGGAGGGTAGGTCGATAAACCCAACACGCTTCAGGAAGTCTGTCTGATTACACTTGCACAGTTCTCTGGGAATATGTGACCTTTTTGGATATTCACTCAATGGTTATCTTTTGACTGGCAATTTATCATAACTGTCACTGTATGATAGTTTCCCATCTGCTTGACAGGGCGGAGTATCTGTGGATTGCATCACTGATCTAGATGATAACCAGTCTCGGCTCTTGGAGGCCCTTCAGCTCTCTCTGCCAGCGGAGGCAGGCGGCAACAGTAAAAAGCACCACGACAAGAAGCTCAGCCTCAACCCTATCTACAGACAGGTGCCCAGGGTGGTGGATCTCTGCTGCCAGCATCTGGAGAAATACGGTACACATTTTCAAGCTGAAAAGTCAAATTCTTTAAAGAATGATGCAAATACTGTAGTGTGTCATATATGCTTTTGAAATGTCACCTTCATCCCTGTTGAAACGTATGAGTCAGTAACTCATTACTCTGTGAATCATACCATTTGAATGCAGAATATTAACCACATAATTGGCAGTGTAAAAGCATCCTTCTCTTTTCTTACAGGCCTACAGACGGTGGGAATTTTCCGTGTCGGGAGTTCAAAGAAGAGAGTACGACAGGTACAATGCCAGCTGGTTAGCTTCAGCACATTTGCACTTAAATAAATTGATCTGACTATGAGCTAAATTATTTGTTGTAATAATTGTCACGATATTTAATGCAGCTTCGCAAGGACTTTGACCAGGGTTGGGAGGTACGGTTGGACGAGGAGCACAGTGTCCATGTTGTAGCTGCATTGCTGAAAGAGTTCCTCAGAGACATGCCTGACCCACTGCTAACACGGGAACTCTACACAGCATTCATCAACACAATTTGTGAGTAGCACATACTGTATGCTCAAGCAAAAAATAACGAATGGTTGGTAAAATATTATTTAAAAAATGGACTATTCATGACAATGATGTGGCCTTTTTTTTACTGCAGTGCTGGATTGTTCAGACCAAGAGAGTGCCATCCAACTGCTGATTTTTCTGCTGCCTCCCTGTAACAGCGACACGCTGCAGCGCCTCCTCTGCTTGTTGTCTACTGTGGCTGCACATGCTGAACACCGCCGTGAGAATGACGGACAGGAGGTAAAGAAACTGTTCACGCCCTGGTTTAAGGCAGCATGAAAACAAGTGCACACACCTGATTATTTCGGGCCTAACGAGATGAGATTTACATGTAGGCAAGTGGGTACAAGACAAGGTGTTGATATGTTGCCATTGTATTGAGATGAACAGCTTGGAGCAGCTCTATTGGCAGTATTTCACATATGTTGACTGTTTTTATTCCACCGGCATGTACAAAAAACTCTTATGAGAAAATGAGCAGCTATCACTGAAAACATAAATAAACGGTTTACAAGTTTAATGTTATTGTGATGAATCCCATCAGCCATCTGAAGGCAGTAAGGCAGATGCTTGTTACACCTGCAGCCTCTAATTTGAATCAAGCGATGTGCCAAAGTGCAGCGCATTATGCATGATGATCCATTGTGGGTATCAGGATTAAATGATGTACAACCAACATTAACCACGCTTCGCTAACACAGTGTTTCTACATACATCATACTGTTCGCTCGTAATTTATTCCCCCGGTTCATGTTTTGCAAACAACAAGAAGTGTAAGGAAAGCATAACATATTGGGAAACAGTTATTTCAGCATAAATATTTACAACTACAGAACAGAACAGTATTTTTTCCTACTTTTCTTTCTTGTAATGATCATCTTTCCATATTATTCTTGCTTTTCTAATGGTCACAATGGAGATTAATTGTTTCCCAGGGATATACAGCAGCTTGTTCTTGGCCTCGGTCCTAGAGCATCCATACTGTAACAGTGAAGCAGAGGTCTGCTGGTTTATTTGAACAATAGAAGGCCAGCCTTATTGATGGTGGCAGGCCTGTGTTCGGGGCACATTCCCAACATGTGCAGGGTGCCAAGGAGAGTTTGCATATCTACAACAAAAGACTCTTAAAATGCCATAATTACTCGTGCGAGAGTTTTCATTACTGTGCTTGATCCACATGGGTCGATTAAAAGAACATTTAAGGTAATTTAGCTCCATTTATGACTTTTATATAAATACTTAGAGTTTAGAAAACATGTATTGTAACTGCAGGGGTCAAATATAGTTAAATGCAGATAATACCTCTGCTGGGACTTTGTTTACTAACAAATCTGCTGTAAAATATTTGTTTTGCTTAAACCTATAGATAAAAATTGAAGTAATACATTACTTCAATTTATATGGTAAAATTAACATACTTAAATTATACCATGTGGAAAAGGCACTGGAATTCTTCCATTATTGTGGCTGTAGTCGTGTCATCCACTAAATTAAAACATAAAGTCATAATGTCCCAACAAATAAAATCTGTCCTTTCTTTAGATGACTGGAAACAAGATGACATCACTCAATTTAGCAACCATCTTCGGACCCAATCTCCTCCACAAGCAAAAAAACTCAGACAAAGAGTTTGCTGTCCAGAGTTTTGCCCGCGCAGAAGAGAGCACAGCCATCATCGGTGTGGTCCAAAAGATGATCAATACATATGAGACACTGTTTATGGTAAGTTATCCTTACTTTCATTTGAATTGTTGAATACAGAACAGGGCTTAATCACACAATATCTTAGGTCTCCTCGTAGGGGTGATTGTTAGGTTTAATAGAGTGTACTAACATAATGAACAAAGCGGTGTCACAGCAATACAGAATATAATGCAATTAGTTGTTCTCCCCTGAGCTGTGTGAAATCTAAGATCAATGAATACTATTTTGTGTTCATGTCAAAAAAAAGGAAAGCCTCACTGTCACTTCAGCCTCTGTATTGTTTGAAGAAAAAAAAAATTGTGAGCAAGGGCAAGATCTTCCTCTGCATAATGTTTTCTACTTTTTATGAAAATGCATTAATTCAAGTAAAATGATGTGTTAAGGAAGCCAGGGGGCAAAACAAAGCTCATCAGACATTAGCTCTGTGTCATTAGTTCTGCTTTTCTAAACTGCTGTTAATTATTGTTGCCTTGTACCATATAAACACCGTGTAGCCTATTGCACCATGGAAAGTATGTAAATATAGGCATCATAACATTGTTGGTGTAATGCTGTTATTTGTTCAGTGTATACAGCGCCTCTGGAGAAGTATAAACTCTGTCGTTGTTTGGATTTACTTGAAGTGTGAATAATTATTAAGGCACAGTGGAATTCATGTATAATAGAAGGCACTTTGTTGCTGAATCTCTTTGTGTGGAGCTTCAGTGTAACTGGCTTTTAATTCTCCCAGGTTCCTGCTGACCTGCAGAACGAGGTGCTGAGGAGTGTGCAAGAAACTGATCCTGATGTAGTGGATTACTTACTGCGGAGGAAGGCCTCTCAGTACTCGTGAGTTTCCACCTAATTGTGTGTGTGCCGTCCAAATGATTAAAATGAGTATGCTCCCTTTAGTCGTATGCATTGTACTTATACCCTTCATGTTGTTCTTTGTTTCAGCGAGCCAGGTCTTCTTAGAGCGTCTCTCTCTCTGACTGACAGGTGCTTATCCAATGACTCCATCAAAGCGTCAAGTGGAGAGGTGTCTCCCTATGACAACAACTCCCCTGTCCTGTCAGACCGACTGCTGTGTAAATACCCAGAAGGCAGCAGTCCACCCACAGAGAGGATCCCCAGACTCTCCGGGCAGTACAAACGCTACAGCTGTTCTAAAGAGGGATCTGGCACCACCTCCCCTACGCTTTCTACTGATAAAGGTGACTATTTTAGTATTATCAAAAGGAATACTTTGACATATTTTGCTGAGATTGATACCAGATTCATGTCAAGAACCATATCCATCTCAATAATAAATAAATAATGGTTTTAAAGATAACAATACTTTTTACCTCTCGTGTGTGGAATGATGTAAGACCTTTTATGAAGCCTTCTGAAACATTTAGTTCCCATCATGCTTTTACCTTGCCTTTGTGAGAGACAGATGAGATATGTAGTTGATGAATGCTTCTAATAATATTCCTTTCTCATAATGTTATCTACTTCCTTTTAGAAATTGTACCTTATCTTTTATTAAGGTGGCAATATTCTTAAATTGCACTTTTACTGGAGTAGTAGATAATCATTTATATTTGTAATATGGTGAGGAAAAACCTTAGTATCATGTTTAGGCTATTCAAAACAGATAATAAGACCTGGTTACATTGTCTAGGGAAGGGGAACAGAAGCTTGTCTCTAAAAATGGAGTATCATTTATTATTTATTTTTGTTCTATTTAAACAAAAGTAAATAATCCTCTTGACACTTTTGTCCCTGTTAGAGGCCTCATCTGATCATTTCTGGGACACCTGGCATGAACTGTTCAGCAAGAAGTGTACTGGCCATCAAACCACTGGTAATGAAGTCCTGCTTACATGCTGCAGATGGTCTTCAGATATGCAATGAATGCTGGATGTTAATGAAGGCTTTCTCACAGGCTCCCTCGGAGACGTTTCGGATAGCGAGTCGTATGGATCTTCAGAGGGGCTGAGCAGTCACCAAGGTAACAACAAGCTGCCTGTCAGACCAGCACAAACCTCATTGGGCGTGCTGGAAATCAGGCCACACCTCCCGGTGACTCGCAGCAGCAGCGGTCCTCATGACCAGAGAGGACACAGACAACCTCAATCACCATTACATCAGGGACTGAGCAGCCAATCAGGAGCCCTCAGCTCAGACAACTTAGCAGAAAGGACAGGACGCCCTGCATGTTCATTTTTAAAGGTCAGGACGGATCGTTTGTCTCCGCCTCACTACTCTGGAAAGCTGAGGGAGACGCATATTTCTTACTCCACACCCTCCCTCTTCACATATAAGCCTGACCCCCAGACCCCTATGCTGCAGAGCCCTGCCCCCCAGACTGTAGACACTGCAGCTGCCTCTGGGCCTGGACTAGAAAATGGCCCTGGCACACCAAACTGGCAGACGGAGAGGTGGCATATATGGCATATTCTGTCAAAAGAAAATGAAGATGCACTGCCTGAAACCTTGGTGTAATGCCCCCCTTGACTATGTTGAATTATAGTGAATACAACTTGACATTAAAGGGGCCATTCTCCTGTCGCTGAAAACCCACTCTCTGCTCGTATAAGCAGTATTAGGTTATGGTTTTGATCACAAATACAGTGATGGAATTTTACACCAAACACTCTCTTAGATGTGATGTCTTTCTGCAGGAGTGTTTAGCTGTATACATATTCATTTTAATGTGTATATATGATATAAATTGTCCTTTCTGTACATATATTTGTTTGCCGTTTATGTGCTGTAGTCATTAACACAGATCATTTGCAACATAACCATCAAAAGCTTTTATTTAGACTTGAATGTCATCATTAGACTTGAATTATATTATTGCTAAGGTCATGAATGTTTTTAAAGTGGAATGTAAAAATGGAGATGTTGTTATAATGCTTTACATTTGTAGTACTTTGATATGTACTGAAGCCACTGCTTGAACAGTTTTGTTACAGGCTCCAAATATAATCTACTGACATGTTGAAATGCTGCAGGCTATGTCCATATTACCTCCTATGTATGTATCTAATCTCACCCTTTGTATACATATTTATCCTTGCACCTTTAGGGGGGCCATTGTGTAAATAACAGTACATAGATTTTATTCTAAAGGATTAGTTTGTGCCATTACTTATAACTTTAGCCAATTTTAAGCATGTTGTTGTCTGTTGTTTGGATTTGTATTAATACTCTATTTTTAAAATGGCCACAGTTTACACAGGAAGATAATTGCAAGCAAAGTGGAAAATGAATGTAAAACAGGGTTCATGATAGGCTCTTATTAGGAGCCATGCTTTCTGGTGCTATGTAGCAATATAATGTGTTCCTTTCCCCTTCGATTTCATTTAGGAATTAGCATGAAGTTAAAATTAAATGGCAACTAAATGATGTCTAAACTCCAACTTAATTATCTCTAAACTCCAGAAACCTTAACAGGCCACAGGGGGGCAGTAGAAGACCAGGAGATGGTTTTCTGTTTCCTTCATTACACATTGAACCATTATTAGTTTAGTAAGACACCTTTACCCACCATTATAAGGATGGTGGAGATGTTTACACTTTTAGCTAAGTATTGCCACCATTGAAGGGAACATATTATTTTAACAACAGTATTTTTTCTTTTGGTGAATAAGTGATCTTAGCTGAGAAGATAACAGTAACATTTACAACTAAATAAACTTTAAAGTACTTAAATTGCTATAAGTAACCACAATAAGTGTGCAATTATGCTGGAAGCCGCCACCATGGTCTTGTAAAGAATCCAGATAGTATTTAAAATGTAACCATCCTTTAGTTGCCTTAAAATAATGGAAATGAGGTTACTGAAATTATGTAATTTAATAGATTGCCTTGTGCATTTATGATACTGTTATGTTTGGACAATAAACATCATCGCACTGATAATAAACTCTTCCCTTCTTAAGTGAAGCCTGGGGGTTTCCTCAACACTAAGATGTGGTTAAACTTTCTCTGCCATATCTGTCTCCACAGCTGTGTGATCCAAGCTGCATTTGGCCTCCACACAATCCCATTCTGAGACCAAAGAAACAGAACAGGATGTCTGGATGTGTTTTACACAGAATTGCCTATACACTTCTTGCATCTGCACCGCAAATGTCTTAACCATCAGGCCAAGCATTAGAGGGAAAAGAAAACCGCCCGGAGATGCTTTTGTTTAAATGTATTTGTGACTGTCCTCCCCAAAGCTAACAATCAAGATGAAGTCTTTCATTTCACATCTTATCTTTGCAGCACTGATGGATGTAAGTTGATCCTTTGGCAGAGAGCTGCAACTGTTCCCGGCAGGGGGTCCTTCCTGTCTGAGTCTGCTCATTGGCATCAGGAGCAGCTGCAGGGAGGACGGAGGAAGGTCACAACCAAAATGAGGCTGAATGTCCAGAAACAAGAGAGCCCTGCCCATGGTGATCAAGGTCGGCTGATACACAAAGCTCTACAAAGGAAAAATAGAGCTCAGTGGGGCTCATTAACCCTCATCACTCCAGCATATCTATGATACAAGGACAGGAAAATCGCCTCAAGAAATAACCATATCAAAACATTATAAGTTATGTAATTAATATATGAACAATAGCTTTATTATTTTAGGTGGGCTATAGTTCATTTGCATATTGTGTAGAGAGAGTAAACAGGGAAATCTCTGCTGCATCTTTTCGGTGTCCTCCTCAATGATTTACACACCCTCTGATAGTGTGTGATATTTTTAATTAGGACCCATGGCATCATTAACTTGATAAATATTTTCTTCTATTAAAAACTGCACCGGTGGAATTAGGTGCTTTTGACTGGGGTCCCCAAGGAGCCCAATTCTTTGGTATACTTTTCTGGGAATTTAAAAAAACACCAAGTACAGAAACCAAAAACAGGGATATAAAGTAATCAGAAACGGATTGAGTGCCAAATTAATGAAAGCATGTAATAATATGTACAGTTGTATTCAGGGTGTTCTGGCACAAAACACTCTGAAAGAAATTCCTATAAAGCCACAGTTATTTTCGATCTCAAATACGTATGTGCTGCTCTATACAGACTGTTTTCAATAGCTTGCCTTTGAATCAAATACAATTATTGCTGTCAATCACCGTTGCATAAGAGTTATGTCTGTGTGCTGCATTTACAATTTTAAAACACGTTATTTTCTGCCGATTTTTTTAGTTCTGAGTCCACCACTGTATCTGGAAAGGCAATTCCAAAGCCTATAATGAGGAACAGCACAAGACAATTACAGTATATGTCAATAATTGGTGAACACAATGCGAACATCACTGTAATGGAAAAATATGCAATACAATAGACAGCAGACTGTTCATGAATGCAAGAGTGACACACGACCCGAATGTCAATAACCGTGGCTTATAGGAGTCATGGATGGTCATGAAGAATAAGAAATGTTCACGGTTAAAGGATTAGCAGTGATTGCATTAAGACTCAGCTTAGTCCAAACACTTCATGAACACAATGAGAACTTTTAGATGCCAAGCGTTGCACTGATAAGACAAGTTTAAGCAAGTTTGTGCAATTTTCGACTGGATTTGGATTCTGAGCAACACTTTACTCTCTTCTTTAAATGGGGTGTTTGAAGAGGTTATTTTTTAGTTTGGATTTGTTCATTTAAATGTAATTCCAATCTTTCCCAATTTTTTTTTTAATGATGTATTCATCTGTTTAGGCCTGTGTACTGAGAAACAGTTGCTTCTCTTGCTCTCTTGTTTTCCATCTCACTGAAGCAACCCAAGAGCTGTCTATAATATGCAGCAACATCTCATTTTATTCACCCCATCTGCTCTGCCTCATGCTCCAACTGGGATGCATTTAATAAATGTTTCCTATTTTGAAACAAAGCTCTCATTGTACCCAAAAAAAGGTTTCAAGACATGTTGGAATTGTTAATTCTGCCGTATGTGTTCAAATGATCAGTGCACACATAAGCTATAAATCACAGCATGGTTGAGCTGTCACCAGCTTTTAGAGTGCATGTGGTTTCCCCAACCCTGTTGGTTTTCCCCTTCTCTCTTTGAGTCCACATGATACAGTGCAGTAACTCAGTTGGGGTGGAGGCTGTGTATCTGGGGGGGACAGGGGATCAAGTTGGGTCAACTTCAATATGTCAGTTTTTTGGCAGGCAGGGCAGTGAATGATACACTGTTCAAATGTTGTTGGCCGAAAAGCCACCAAAAGGCAGTTTTCTGCAGGCAGTTTGGTTCAGGATTCAAACTTGTGCAACAAACTGAGAAGAAACCACTCCCATGCAACATCAGGAATTACAGCATCCAGATGTTTTCTTCCAACTCTGGTTGTTAGCCAGCTTGTTTAATGGGGCGGATATGAACACATACCAATTCTATCTGATAATATTATTTTTGTTGTTTTTGTCACCTGGCATACATTCTGAGATATCGGTGAAATATGTGTGTTCCATTGTGTGAGGGCTAATAATGCAAATATAAATTCCTGTGCAACTCTCTGTTGTGTTAGACACAAGCATCTTTAAGCAAATATGCAAAAATAAACACCTGAACTTGCATAATATAAGCTAACATTGAGAGAAAATATTCAAGTTGTTCAGTTCTTTGAGAGAAACTCAGCAGGCTGCTTTTGTTCAAATTCCATGTAATTCCCCTATGTATGCTGATAGCAATAGAAGCTGCAGCTTAGACACTGTAGACACCTATAGCATTAAATCAAGCTTCAAACATGTAATCATGTTTTCTGTGCTTCAAAGAAATTGCCAGTAGTTAATAATTAAGTAGACGCTCGACCTAGGTAATTATCAAAGAGTGACTTCAAAAATGAAACAGTTCTAAGCCTTAAAATGCAAACACGTAAATACTTTGGCAATATGGTCGTGTTCCCGTGAGAGAAGAAAAGCTTTAATCAGTACCTGTACCATTTCACACTATTGTCCCGAGCAGCAGTAGAAGTTCTCTTTGAACCTTTTCCCCACTGTATCCCCAGTTTCCTGCGGGCAGCGTTTTCCTTCTAGCTATCTCGGTGTTGCCTTTATTCCCTTTGGTTTTATATTCAGATATGCTTTCAGAAACAGGCTGATTCCCATAACGTGCTGTCTCTTTTTTCTCCTACTGTAGTTTTGTTGTCCTACCCCACTGCCCACACAACAAACACAAATGCTGCTGAAATCCTTTAATTGAAGCCATCCTTTTCTTTAGAAGTTCATTTAAAGGTTATAGGAGCACATGATTTAAAGGCTGTCTTTCCTTTATCAAGTATGAGCTGTTATTGAGTGGCTGTTAAAGAAGACTGACTTTTCAGTATTACGGAGAGTTCAAGTATGAAGGCAACTTGTTAATATCGCTCTATTCACAGAGAAGGTCAAACCTGAGAGCAGAATGGTGAATAATATGAGTGCACACTGCACACAGCTTTGAGGGATTAACACAAGAATCAGAAAGTGTTTTGGTTTATTGATTTCATCATTATTTGAAATTGAAAGGATTTCTGGCACAAAAAAGCATGAAATTAGTTGTAACATAATTGACTATGGCCTTCTGGGATCTTTTTGAAGCTTTGTTTTTGTCTCAGTTTGTTCCCAGCAGGCCACACTGCTGACAATATTCAGTCTCTGTAGCCGCAGCGGCACATTCGTTGTGATCTTGAAAACAAATGGTAAGAAGATATTCCATTATTTCATCAATCTCAGAGCGACAACCTCAATTCTATATACCGTCATGTGGAAACCTTACACAATACTGTCTGGATGAGCCTTAATCATTTCCTCCTAAACTTTTCAGTCATCTGACTAATGATCAGACGTCTGCTTAGGTTGATGTTGGGAGTAAGCTTTGCTGGAAATGTACTGATGTCATCAAACTCCATATGAGTCACACTGCAAAGGTGTAATCAT